GTTACTCTTACGGTTTGGTCATCTAATAGTTCAGAGTTCCAGAATTTTTGTAGATCTGTCGCCACATTTCTCCAGGTGAAATGTTCTCGTCCTTGTAGCAAAATTCGCAATGTTTGGGGAAGTTTTGCTCTGAGATTTCTGAACAGGCGCATGCCATCTGGATCGGCCATAATTTGTTCATCGATATCAATATCCATTTCTCGTAATACCCCATGTATAGCGAGCATGGGCCTTTCTTTCCAACTATAATTTAAGGCAAAGTCATTTATCACCTTCTCGTTGTTAGCGATGCCTTGTGGATGAGTTACCGCCAACAATTCCATGACTGTTTTCCAATTAGGGCGAGGTACGTCAAACAAATCGGCTATTTGTTCTGCATCCTCTCGGCGGTTCGCTTCAATTAGCTTCTTTTGTATCGCGTTGGCCAGTATTCTGTCCCTTATTGTGTCGCCTGGACCATGTTCGATAAATGTCATCGCGTCTTCTAGCCACTTCAATAGATTTAATCTCCCAGGATTCTTCATGATAGCCATCATTTCGTCCACGTTCATGGGTTTGGAAGAAGTAGCCAAGGGTTGGTACGGTGGTTGTGTAATTTTGACGAAATTCGGCTGCGATGGTCTTTGAGCATACCGTTCTTCTTCTTCGGACGACGATGATGATGAAGGAGTCTCGGTATTACTTGATAAGTCCAAATTCGGGTCCGCTTGCAAGGATCGCTGAAACTCTGGGTCTTGTTGCAAGAACTGTCCATTGGCAAGGGATATCACGTCAAATTTTGGGCCTCCTTGCAGGGAGAATTCTTGAGAAACTGGTCTTGTTTCTGACGATGGCGAACGAGACAATTCAGTTCTCGTCAGCACTCCATTTTTTAGCTGCGCCCTTCTTTGCCTTCCTCGAGTTAAGCGTACGGTGGGATATTTTTTTGGACTTGGTCCCAACCTTATGGAGCTTAGTTCTTTAGCTTTTGTATATCGGGAGCCGGTATTACCATTTGAGGCGTTGTTATTTCTGCCTCTTGATAGGGACCTTTCCCGTCACCTCTGGCTGTTCTTGAATTCAATCCCAACCGTCTTCTATTTATTATTGCTGACCTTTCGTCTGCTGGAGTGGAGAAAACAGGAGGCGGTATAAGCTGCGCCCTTTGTGAGTACAGCATTTAACTCCGTAGGGATCCTCGCCTGGTGTAGTTAATAATCGTCCTTGACGTATCCTTTTATCGCTGACCACATCTACACCTTCGATTCCAATCGGGTAAGCGGCCATTTCATGTTGCAACCTGGGGTATATAGTTTCTATTTCTTGATGGTCTAGTCCCTTTTTCACAACCAACCTTGGGCCATTTGGGGTATCTGGGTGAATTGGCCAGGAATTCATCGTGGGTGTTCTGGAAACAAGTGTGGCGGGGTATGATGGTGGTTCTGAAGACGGTGGTGCCGACGGTTCAACAGCCACTGAATATGACTTCGTGACGTCTGCTTCACTGGTAGACATTTTGTATAACTTTCCAGCATTGTATTCGTTTTTGAGTACACCTTGAAGTTCTTCCATCGTGATTTTTGCGCTGGCTTTCTTTGCTGCTTTTTCAATGGCTGCTAAATCGTTCTGGGCCATTTTTACATCTTTCGTTGCCTGTTTAAGTTCTTTTTTGGCATGGGGAAGGTCTTTTTGTATTTGAGTAAATAGTTTTTGTTTATCAAGTATATCTTGCTTAAGCTTTTTTTCAGTGGCGCTAACCTCTTTATGTCTTTCTTGGGTATGCTTTATTAATTTCATTTTGTTATTAAGTTTAGTTTGTTCACGGGACGCCTCCCCTTTTTTTCGACTAAACCAATTGGGCATTGTTAGTCCTTAATTACTTTAAATATTTAACGTTATATTATTGTTATTGTATACATGCAGTGCCAAATCTTCTTGGCGTTACTCTTCTCGGACTGGTTCTCTGGACTGGTATTCCGCTTTTTCCGTTGTTATTGAGTGAAGTGGCTGGTTAACTATTCGTTATTAATATAAAAATTACTTGCAATTTTACGATTCCCTTTTTATCTTGCCGCTTGTTGTAAGGGTCGTTTGTTGCCTCGTTCTCTTTCGATTGGAGTCTACCTCTCTGCTTTTTCTTTTTTCGTTTTGGTTGTACGCAATTCTTTTGCCAGTCCCGACAGGATTTTGTTTTTGCTTATTTGGCTCGAAACGTTCCCTTCCTTGTTGTCTTCTTCGACTTGGGTCTCAGAACGACCCAAGTTTTCCTAAGCCTAGTACGTAGCCTAAATCTTAATACAACCAAATACTCCAATGTTAGTACAGTTATATAAATAAATAAAATACAATATAACCATACTAACACACATTTAACATTTTAAATACAATAAAATTATTTACTAATTTGTTTTTGCATCATAAAAATTGTTATAAACACAATACAAATTTCTTAAAATAGCATAACACACTTAAGATAAAATTCGGAATATGATATAAGATATCTTAACATCATTATACTGTTTTTCAAAACTATAACGTTGGGTCAAAAGCAGAGCGCCTATCAGGAATTAACCATAGACCGTCAGGCTCCCCGTAACCAATGTTAGTTTCCCACTGAACACCCTTATTACGGTGCCTTGATCCCAGATTATTAAATAACATGTAAACAAAACAATATAACGTGTCAGACATCCTATATCCTATTTTTTTTTTAAAGTGATGCACACATGTAATACGGTAACCTATTTCAAATTTATACTGAAAAACACTTGATCATATTTGCGAAGTATTAAAAAAAATACAACATGCACATTTGTAGATAGTTTCAGTATAGTTCCTTAATATTCTCAACACGGGGCATGGGGTGTCTTGTTGCATAAAAAACAACACTCGAGTTCAGTGCAGGGCTTCTATCAGGAATTTCCTTTAGACCGTCAAGGCCCCTCCCAGCATTGGCTTCCGCTATGCCCACCTAACACGGTGCGTTACTACCCGCAAACAAACATTCCCTCCCCCGGTTAAAAAATAGAAAGACCGAGACGAAGCCCCCAGTATGTTATAGAGATTTTTGGGGTTTAATTAAACACACCCCACAGGGGGTGGGGTACATTCAATTTGCCCTTGATTACTCTTGGGTTCATTATCGTTGTCTAGGACAAAATAATTCCAAAAAAATATATGAGATAAACATCATACATTATTAGCAACATACAAAGACATCAATGTTCAAAAATTCTCAACTAGTATAGTCAAATCTTATTTTAAAGTTTCGATGTCTTAACAATTTCAAAAAAACATAAGTTACACGTATCCGCCATTTTGTTTTTTCTTTGTGGCCGCCATTTTGTTTTTCCTTTGTGGCCGCCATTTTGTTTTAGATGCGGCGATCAATAGTATTGGTTTGTATCAAGAATTTTTAGCTGTTTCTTTTATTATTTTTTATGGGTTTTAATGTACAAATTGAAACAGCACCATTAAATAGTCACATTAAGTATGTGGTTATAACTTCCACTATATAATTAATAAAAATAACTAAGGTTTACGACTCATCATAATATAAGTACATGAGAAGGCTTCAAGTCTTTCCTTAGGAATTTCTCTGTTACGAAGGGCACCGGCTTATCGTATGAGTAAGTCAAACGTCCGGTTAGTTCATTAATTAAAGGTTCAAACTTACAATTTACATTCATATAATAATAAACAAGTTACATAAGTATATAGGGTAGTATAAAATCAAATGTTGAGTATACCAACACAATAAAAATATAAACAATAATGATAATAAACTACAATTACATTTACATTATTGTCAATGGTGAGCATAAGTCGTTACAATTATTCCTTTAAGCTTATTGTGCAATTCCACAATACATTCGTGTGGTCTATTTATTTATTATTTTATTTTTACTGACCAACCAAACTTGGGCATCCCATATTTGAATGACGTAATACCATAAATGCGTATTACTTCCGTGGTCACTATAATACACTATGTCCATACATGATCTATGTTATTTCCTATATTAAGTTCCGCCTGGCAAATATGCTCTAGCATAACTTTTAATATAAGTCCCACGATCATCCTTGATCTCATGATTACATGATATACATTAACTATTAATCAATGAAAATATACCAATAATAATAAAACACCATACGTCAGAGCCAGTTACAAAGTTAAATGGAATAAGAAAAAATAACAAACTTCAAATATACTTGGTTATACATGAGTCATTTGCAAAGAATTTTTTAATAACTGGGAGTCATGGGAATACAAGTTACGGAAGCCATTAAACCAACGCAGCTGAATCTATTTATAAATTTCCTATCTGGGAACTTCAGCAATGCATTAGTGATTATCCATGGGAAAACATGTTTTCTTGGGCTCTTAAGGGATTATCCAGCTTTTTACGAGATAATAACTTTGCAGCGTTGATGGAAAATATTTAATTCTCTGCCAATTCTCACGACGTGCAAAATCTATTTTCCCATAAATTTAATAACCATTTGATAAGGCAATATAAGGTTTGCAAAATATAGCATAGCACCATGTACTTTACGATCAGCCAACAATTTCCTGAAACTCAATGTGGGAAAATTTTGACAATACGTCAACTGTTTGTGATTTCCTATGTCCCATAACAATATTAATTTTTATTATGTAAGGCAATTGGAGGATTGTGCATTCCCAGACTCTGCCTAAAATTCTCATATAATTTCGAAAATTAAAACATATCTGAATTAGGTAACTTTCCTTATTTCACATAAATTGTTTAATAAATCCTACAATTCTTTATAGGTCTCAACAGTTCTACAGTTCTAAAAAATTATACAATTAACTTCAAACATAATCTACGTTTTCAAAGTTTACCAAAGTCATTCTGAGTTTGTATCTATATAATCATTCAATAACCGTTCTTTTAATCGAAAGATTCTGATTAATGAATTAAAGTTCGGATGAAAACTTAATAAATTTGTAACATCACCAGTGAGTCCATTTAGTTGAAGGTTGTTCTATGATATTCTTTTAATGCTTGAGTCTGGATAGAAGTTGCAGTTGAGTTCTCAACATCTTTCTGATATGTAGGCTGAGTTGTATAAGTTCCATTTGTTTCGGTTGCTTGTTGAATATTTCCAAGTCTTTTGCTGGTTGTACACAGTAGTTGATATTCGTTTGCCATGGATGCCCGATGTTGACTGACTTTCTCAGGCCAATATTGGTCACCTTATAACACATCTGATGGGTGTATTTTAAACTTCAATTCTCGAGGGATCAAGCATCGCTACCTTATATGGTCGCGTTGCGCAATTTTATAAAGGTCATGACGTATTCGATTTTCATCAAGTCCAGGAAGTTTTGGGCGTCACTGGGGGTTTGCAATTTATTCCGAGAGTCTTTGACAATTTACCTAGATTAATATTTATAATATTGCTATAGCAGCCGTTTCGGCACCGTCTTTTATCATTTTCTTTATTTCGTGGTGTTTTTGCCTGTTTTCAATATTTCGCCAACCTAATGGGCTTCCTGTCTGAAAGTAAGGCGGCAGCTGTGCTTTTACAGGGGCGCAATTTGGGTGATTCTGGATACAGCAGCACATTGTTATAAGAATCACAACCACGATTGCAATCGGTATTAATGCTTTTAGGAAAGGCGAGAATACCCACCAAAAATTCCACCGAAGAAATTTCCTACCGCCTCCCCCCCGGTTTTGAAAACATTCCCGACTTCTCCGAGTCCTTTATTTACTAGGTTCATAGCTTCATCCACTATGTTAGTGAAATTTAAATCTAATGTCATATTAATGTGTTCGACCGATATATTTTCGAAGTCCCATTCTGACGTGTTTACTAATATTAGGGAATGGTTTAAGCCACTCACCCACAATTCATTGGCTTCGTTTAGTTCTCTGTCTGCGCCTTGCATACCACGTCTCATTTCCTCTGCTTGCCTTACATTGTTCTGAATCGTTTGGTTTGCCTCCTCCTCTACTGCTGTTAGAAGTCGGGCGTATTCTTTCAAATGCAGGATACCATCTTTTACCCGTATTAAATACGCCTTGGTTTTGTCAAATAATGGTTTTGCCGTTGAATTTTTCAAAACGTGTAACACTAATTGATTCACCTCTAACTCAGCTACAGACATGGCTTCGATTGTTTGGAATTCATGCAGAAACGTATCCAACTCCCGTAGTAATAATCGCTGATTCTGGTCAATTTCTCCCTGTAAGAAATTCCATTCCTGTCTTCTTAATTCGCGCTCTTTAACCATTTGAAAGATGACCTCACTTAGCCGTTGATTCTGAATAAAAGTCGATCGGGACAATTCATTTAGTCTTGACGCAACTTGTCTTAAGGCCTCTTCATTCTGGGCAAACCTCGTGTTCACCTGTCGAGTCATTTCGTCAATTCGATCGTTAATTTCGCCAATAAGGGTTCTTGTGTTTGCATAATTTATTCCTGCAAATATCAGAGCTATTGCCTCAAATATAAAGCGTTTATTTCTCCGGGCAGGAATTCCTATTCCGGGCACACTAAGCGGATCTTGCGCGTTCCGACTTGGCCATTTGCTCCTTTTAGCATAAGAGTGGGCCGGGAACTGAGTTCCGGTTGCGAGCAGGGTCATACTTAGTTTCGTCCCAGAACCGCATTTTTACTTCCATACTCCCGACAGGGTATGACATTGTTCATTTCTTTCAATTTCGTCGCTTACATTCACTGTCCCAGTGCAACATGGACGGATAGGTGTCATATAACACCATAGGTCCATGTTTTTGTATCACTTCCCCCATCGTGAGTCCAATTAACAATATGAGTTGGCGCGATCCACCTAATTTTTCTCATTCCATTCGGGAATTCAAAATCACTTGGCCATATGTTAGTGGATACCGGCCAGAAGGTCTCATTCAGAACCCCTACGTATTTTGTAGTGTTTCGAATGACACGCTGTTATGTTCATCATCGACTTCTTGTATTAAAAAATCGCCTTCTAGGGGTTCAAATATTAAAATCGTGCCCGGTAAACTGATACCGAATTCGGTTCATGTAAGGGGACAGTCCTTGTTTTGTCTACGTAGTTAGTTAAAAATGTCTGAAGTTATACCTTTGTCCAAAATCCATTACTTCGACGCCACCTTCTGTCCCACGATATTGAATTGCTTTTGTGCTTGAGTGTTACATCGACTGTTGCGTAAAATTGTAGCAATCGGATCACCATAGCTTTATACGCCGTGAAGGTCGTAAGCATTAGATTGGTCATCGTTTGACGTGTTTATTGCGCCTTTTGCTTGGTTTGCGGCGCCCATTGCCATGCAAATCGGAAATGTTGGCCTATAGGTCGCCTATACGTTTGATTTTTATAAAGAAGTGAGCGTTGTAAATCAGGCTTTTATCCAGGCAATTCGCCGTTTGCACAGGCACTCCCGTTCTAGCATGATAGGACTTTCCCAATATTTTCCCTGGGATAATTACGTTTGTTGATAAGTTTTCTCTTCCGCAACCACATACCCGAAATTTGAGGAATAATAGAGAGCCGGAGTTTTTATATACTTTGTCGCCGTCACTTTACGTTCAGCAGTTTTTTAAATCAATTTGTTCCCATGGAGTAGATGGATCTGTCAGTTCCCAATGCGTGGCGTTTAATTGACTCGCCTTGATCAAGGTACCCTCGTTCAACGAGGCCACGCCCAAATTTAACTCTCCCATAACACAGAAGACTTTTTCCCTCGACAAACAATACCATAGCACATAAACCCAATGCGACGCCAACCCAATTATTGTTAGTACGAGAATTAAAAACGTGCACCATTCTGGATTCATCGGAGGATGGGCCGGGCCATATCTATTTTAGTTTTTTTTTTAGTTTGTAAACTTTTATTTAACAATAGTCTGTAAAACAAAATTCAAAAGTTCATGGTTATGTACAACACGGCATGCCTGTTTTATTATTACTTCATTTACAGTTCCAATTAGTTCGCTGAGAAATTGCCATCTCGAGACTGTAGGTAGATCTTTTCAGCCTCCATGCAATCTACTTTCAATAATTTTTGGATAGCAAATATAACACTCTCAGGTAATAACACATCCGTTTCGAGTTCATAGTTTATTAGTGAACCATATGGGGCTGCTGCAGGATTGCATTGATTTAGGTCGAAGATAACTCAACGAATAAGGGTTGAACTTACGAGATGTATGCCGTCGGGTTCTCATTGGGCGAGGTGCCTGACTGCGCGAGAGTCGGGTCCCTCCCCATCGAGTGAACATTTCAGTACATTGTTTCAGGTATCTCAGCACGTTTCTTGTTTCTGTTCGTCTTGAAGAACATACGAACACAGGCGGCCTCCCACACTCGCTGCATGGCTTTATTGCCTAAATCCTCTGTCGAATTGAGTTAGTCTATCTGACTCCCTCTTTCCACACCAGATGTCATGTAGGTGGCTTTCGCAATTTCCTGTGATGACGTAATCATAGACTCTTTCTCTCAATTGTTTCTGACGTTCTTCCCGGACTGGTCAATAATGGTAGCGATATTTCTTCTCTTGTCACAGAGTTGGGACGATTAGACGGTCCAGCACACTCTCCCTTCCAAGCCTCAACCCCCTCAGTTGAAGTTATGGTTATAAGGTTTGCCATGGATATTGCCCCCTGACACCTGAAGTCTCCTTCTACAGTCATCTCGCCTACCTCTTGTATTTCGTTGTTCGGGGTCGTAGCGTCGGCCTCACTTTCATCCGGTAACGGTAGCGGCATTTCGACAAAGGGTTTTGTCTTTTCACATGCAAAATACGCTTCCGGATAGTCCATGGGCACTCCATCAATGTCGTCGAGATCACTTTCCTCCGATAGCGGAGGGGGGACAGCTAGTAATCGAGTGCTTAAGGCTTGGCGGTGAGTAGGCAGGCTTGGTGGCGAATACGCAAGGTTCGTCATTTCTCCATCACTTTCTTCCCCATAATCTGCCTCAAACTCTGGCACTGGATTAGTAGTTGAGTTGCTATTTCGTATGTTGTTGTGGATGGCTTCTGGCTCGAGGGACTTGGTCTGTGGTTGTGGGTGGTTATTTCATGGGTCGTGGTAGGATCGCTATCCAACACATACCCAATAGTAAACCTTCCTTTTCTGCCTGCTTCTTTAATGTTTCGTCTTCTGTTGTAAGGTCGTCACGATTTGAGTAGTTAAGAGCATTAGTCAGCCACCTCCGTTTATGTCGGCTATATTCGTATCCGGTCCAATTAGTGACGATACATGTTTTCTTTGTTGAGTAGTTCCCCAGTTAGCTGTAGTTGTTAACAAAAATACCGATGCAGCTTTTTTATTCGTGTTTTCCATAATAAGTCTCTTATTAGGATTGTATTGTTAATTCTGTTAAAGTAATATGAACATTGTAACGTAGTTTTTTTTTTTTTTTCTTTCCTACTTTAGTTTTCAAGCCTGTTACATCATACTTTGGATTATTCGCTATTGCCTCTAAAATTTTGGCAAAACGTTCGTGTGGGAGGTGTCTTCTCCTCCATTGAAATTCATCTAGGTAAGACGGGATCATTTCCCTTCTTGTCCCATGCATTTTTTTAAATTTTTCTTTCACTCCAGTCCAAAGCCCTTCTACACTATTTGTGGTTACCCCCTCATCAGTGACATACATCAAGCTATGATTCACTGTTCGATGTGTGTATCCCATTCCCAACTTTTCTATGTCTCTGTAGGACCCAAAACAATCGCTCCAAATTTCTGAATGTGGTGCAACGTTTGCCTTTATCAATTCTTCCATTGTAGCTTAGTTCTACCAGTTTCGGGCACTAATTGCAAACATATTTCTTTGGTTTCCAAACATATAGCCCCCCACAACCAAATAGGCTTGATTTTTCGGGCCCTAAAATTTGAGCATGGCTTTCGTTTGGCTATCAGCGTTTCATCGATGCAGACTGTCATTTCTTTGCCACCGATCTTTTTAAAACTCTGAATGAGTTCTGTCGAGCATATTTCTCGTATGAAATGCAACCAATCTACAACAATACGGGGACTCACATCTATTTCATTATACGATTTGTCTCTGCGGTACATCCATGGCCCAACAATATAATAATATCACCAAGTTAACCAGGTCGATTTTACTTCTCTCGAAAAACGAGTTTTTTCTTATTGTCGTTGTATTACGGCAATTAGCTTTCCTACATCTAAACCTTGCCCCATCGAGCTTGTTTGCCTTATTGATTTCTTCTACCATGGCGTTTCGACATTTGGGGCAGTTCATGCCGCGAGCGAGTACGCGATGTTCCCGCAAGAATCCTATACAGTCTCGTACATTTGACAAAACCCCAAGGGCTGCCAGACTCCGGATTTTCATATCGCTGGTTGGTCCGGTACCTATCAATAAAATTCAGAATGTCAATTTCTCGTGTGGTTAAATTCATTTTATATTCTTCTTATCTACTCATCGTTAGTTCATGACGCATGAAATTCATCGTTAATAGCATTATTTATGTATCAGATATTGTCCGTATTCCCTAGACAATTGAATGTATTGTCCGTATTCCCTAGACAATTGAAAGTGTCGGTTAAGTTATTAGCTACGTTGTTTAGTGAACATGCGCCGAGATATGTGTATCTTCGGACCATAAAAAAGTTGCAGTGTTTAGGAGTGAGGATTTATGCCTTGGGATCAAAGCAGTAAGCAGGAATATAAATTGACTGATGGGTGATTGAAATTGTGACGTCTGTATGAAAAATATGAATTGAACACACATATTTTAACTTCAATTAATAAGTTTTTTATGATGGAGTTCTACTGATCTTGATATTTTTTTCCCAGATTTATCCTGTCATTGTATACGAAGTCACCAGCTGAATATTACAACATAAGAGGTATTTGCCATGATAATCCATTTTGCTTGATTTCAGGCTGGAACTAATAACCTTTTTCACATGAATTGGATACCTATTATTGTCATTATCTAAACATGGCTTTAACATATATATATATTTATAATTTTAGATATGCCAAAAAGTTTTGAAATATTTTGTCGAGTGTTTTTAAATTATTGATTTGTGATCAATAGCAATACCTTTTTTGCTACTGCAAAATCCACCACATTTATTGAATGCATTAATATTTCTCATGGAACCGTTACATTTTATTAATTCCAATTTGTTTTGTGGGGTATTTACATTTTTGTTTCAAATAATACTTTGTCAAAGTGGCTGTTATACTTATATTTAAACACATACATGCTTAGATGGTAGACAAGGTTCAATCGTTGTGGGTAATTTATTTCGAAATATCGTAACTAAAATATAAACGTTTGCAGACGTCTCGAAACTCACTTTTGAAGAATGATTTTCTGTCACTAGATGGGGTTTTGGCATGGAAACACATCTAGAAGGAATTTATGAATATATGTCTAAAAAAACATTTGAAACAGCCATGTAAACTAACAGACCAACATGTTTAACTCAATAGCCTGATAAA